CCTCATCTCCTCAAAGACATTCTGGGCCCTCGAGGTTGGCTTGCCACGGACGGGCTTGAGGGTCTCCTCCATGGACTCGTCGTAATCGTCAGAGAACCTGCTGGGCCTTGAGGCCTGCTCAGGCTGCTGCTTGACAATACGGTCATGGGGGGTCTCCATGGGCGTAGGAGGGAAATAGCCTGGCCCATGTGTGAGCGAAGCAGTTTCATCAGAGCAAAGGCGCGCGGGAAGGAACTGACCGTTTCCGTTTTGATGAGGGGGCGTTATCGGCCTCGAGGGCTCGCCGCCCATGGTCTCAAACTTGGCCACACGGTCGAGGATGCCGTTGCTGATCCTGCGGGTCGTGCGCCTGAGAGTTGCGGCGGCGGCGTCGCCCTCGGGGGCCCAGATGGGCTGAGCGGAGGTTGGGCTCTCGTTGAAGTCCATGAAGGCGGGCGACGAGAGATCGGCGTCGGCGCCAAAGAGGTCAAAGTCCTTGTCGTTCATCATGGCGCCGACAAAGGCGGGATCGTCCTTCATGGGGACCATGACGTTGATGCCTCCTCCCTGGTAGGGGTTGAAGGGGACAGGGGAGGAGCTGTTGTCGAAGCAGGCGGCGCCGAAGCGCTGGTGCTGGGGGGTGCCGTGAGGCGACATGACGTAGCCGTTGTCGTGGTCATTGGCGGCGGCCATGAAGTTTTGCTGCTGGTGTTGCTGGCGTCGCAGCGGGTGTTGTTGCTGTTGTTGGTGGTGGTGGCTGAGATGTCTCGTGTGAGACCTGGAGAGGTTCTGCTGGTGGGGGCCCGGGCGTGCTAGAATGCGTTGCTGCTGCGCTTCTCGCAGCACATGCTGCGGTGATGCTGTGTTGTTAGTGTTGCTTACCATTGCAAAGTCCTGCCTTGTTGGTGTCGTGGTGGTCGCGGCCGCGGCGGAAGCGGGCGACAGGTGTTGGCGTCGTGTGTCCAAGCTGAGGCCCCGGCGGTGGCCGAGGGCTCGCTGTCGGTTCTGGACAGTGGGCAGGGCTGGGATCTTGGCCGGCTCAAAGGCGGACGGCGTCGAGTTTTGCCGTCGGTGAGTCGCGCGTTGGCGGGCCTGAAGATTGCGGGATGGAGAGGACAGCATTGTGTCGCAAGGTCGAGTCCGGAGGGAATTGTCGTCGGTTGAGGTTGTCGAAGGGAACCTTTGGGTCCGAAACTGGGGACCGTCTCGTCAGTGTGATTTCCATCATGGCAGCAGCAGCAGAAGAAGAAGAAGAAGAAGAAGAAGCACCAACCTCACGCAGCGCTAGCAGTGGCTGCCGGGCAAAGGGGGAGAGCTTAGGTCGTGCTCAGCAGAGGTCGGGCTTTGCAGCTCAACGGGGGTGGATGCGAGAGAGAGGCCTCCTCAGGCCTGGGGAGACGGGAGACGAACGAGCTCTTCCTAGGTAGAAGGGCCTCTCGAGGTTGGCAGGGTTGTGATGCGGTTTTTGGATGGAGCAGGTGGTTTTGGATGGAGCAGGTGGTTTTGGTTTGGCAGATGTGGTGATGCGAGAGTGGTGGTGAGGAAGAGGAGGAGCAAGATGGAGGAGGAGGGATTCCACTTTCTGCAAATAGTCTGGGCGGGTATCTAAAGCAGGAAAGAGGAGACGGAGACGAGGCGTTGTGAAGGCAGGTAGCATCGAGGGTCTTTGGGGGAAGTCATGATTGTTGACTGGGTCGAGGCGCGTCACCACGGCAACCGATGGCGATGGCGACGGCGACGGGGCGGGCACGACCCAGCGCCGGGCCATGATCCGCCCTCCTGCCCCATCCTGCGTCACCTTGAGACATGGCTCTCTATTAGCACCGCCTTGGCTGTCCCTTGGTTCGGTCTTGCCTGCCTTGCCTGCCTTGCCTGCCTTGCCTGCCTTGCCTGCCAGGTGGGCTGCGGCCTGGGCTGAGGCCTGCGCTGTTGGCTGCATCTCGCTGCTGCCTCTGTTTGCGTTTGCATCGCGTGGGATGGCCTTAACCTTGGCTGCTGGGGGAGCTTGAAGCCACTGAAGCCACTGAAGCCACCGTGGAAGCCACTGCTGCCCGCTTCCATTACTT